CCCCTCCTCCTCTTTCTTTTTGCTTTTGGAAACAAAAGTCCTGTTTTTTGTTTTTGGCTTCAGTGCACATACCAGAACAGTCTGATTGATTCTCGATTTAAGAAAGCTAGGAAAAGGAAAAACACAAGGAGGAGCTCATTACGCCCCTGACACCTGGCCGTGGAGCTGCCTGCCTCCACTGGGACCATGCGTCCTGCACCCTAGTCTGTTCCTCGAGCTGCCTGCCCGTGGTGCCTGGCTTGTGGGCCCCCTTAGTGACCAGACAGTTCTGCTTAGAAGGAACTTTATCAGCATATGGAATAAACATTTGTTTGCCAGGCTCCGGGTCTGTTTTATGCTGTTATATCACAAGTATGATAAACTGGATAATTTATAAGTTGAAATTTATGTCTCACAGTTCTAGGGGCTGAAAGCCCAAGATCAGAGAGACAGATTTGGGGTTCAGTGTAGGTTGGATTTTTTTTTTCCCCAAGATGGGGTCGGGAGCACTGCCTGCCAGAGGGAAAGAACATTGTCCTTCACATGGAGGAAGAACACTGAGCGAACACACACCCACAAACCCTAACACATTTGCTGAAAGGTAGTGACATGACTGCATTTATGAAGACAGGGTCCCCATGCCCTAAACGTCCCCTCCAAGCTCTGCCTCCAAAGACGGTTTACTAGGGAAGAAGTTTCCAACACATGAATTTTGGGGAACCCATTCAAACCCTGAAGCCCAGTAAATTTCATCCTTTAAACAGGTACTGTTATTTAGAATAATATGAAATAAATTGTATACCCTGCCAAATGCCCTTCCACCAGTGGAAGCCCAATGTCATTTTCTTTTTTAGCTTAGTGTGCTTTTGTTTAAATATTTGCAGCTAACGGTACTGGCCTTTTGACTACAAGGCAAACAAACTCTTCACCCTCTTAAAAGCTCAGTATCTGTGGAAATTCGTGGCTTGAAACACATCACTCAGAGTTATGGGGATTAGATAACATCTCAGATTAAATGTTTGCGGATTTAGCCTCAAGCATGCCACTCTGCAGTTACCAAGTTCATGGTTAGGATGTTTCAATAGCTGCTGAGTTTTTCCTCATTCAGATCAGTGTCTATTTAAAGTCTTGAAATTAAACGTAGCATATTTCCACCTGTCTTTCCCAGCTCGCTGGTGGGGGGCTCTCTGCATTCATGGTGCAGCTTGGCACCTGAATTCCTACTGGGAATAGTTTGCAAGAGATACCCCGAGTCCTTTTGCCTTATTCCTTGCTCCTAGCTCGTGGAGATCTCCCGGGAGGCGGCGCAGATCATCGGGCTGTGCACAGAACCGGAACCTCCAGTGCCCATGGAGATGCAAGCCCGGGTCTCTCCCGCAGCTGCGAGGACCCAACGGAGCTGCCGCTCACTGCCCCTCGCGGGCGGCATGGACACCCCCATGCGCGGCGCTTATCTGTGTGAGAGCTGCGCGCGTGCGCAGAACTCGCAGTCTGCGTCCTCTCCCGACTGGGTCGGGTTCTTGGGGGCCAGCCTTGCCCGCTCCTGGGTGCAGAGGACGGTGTGCCGCCCACGCAGGCCCGGTCGGGCCAGAGCGTCTCCAGAGCCCACTGTCCTGTCTTCCTGCGCTGCTGAAGCCGATGCCACAGACCACACACCACCATAGTTCTTCCATTTGAACACTTTTCCCTATTTTGTAATATCTATTATACATTTTATTCCTTATTTACACTTTTGGTTTCTCACGCCAGAGAAACAACATGGTGTTGACTCGCTTATTAGTTACTCATCTCTCCTTGCTGGGACAAATACCGACACTCAAAATGAAGGAAGGGAAGGTTCATTCAGCTCAATTATTGGAGGTGTCATAGTTTAAAATATCCTCAGGCCGGGGATATAGCTCTGGCATAAACGCCTGCCTGGCAAGTGCAAAGTCCTGAGTTTGATCCCTGGTTCTGAAAAAAAAAAAAAAATTATATTAAAAAGAAAAATAGGGGCTGGGAAGATGGCTCAGTGGAATAAGTGCTTCCCTGGCAAATGCAAGGGCCTCAGTTCAATCCCTGGTTCCACCAAAAAAAAAAAAAAAAAAAAAAAGAAAGAAAGAAAGAAAGAAAAATAGCCTAAATTTTGTAGCAAGACCTCGGAGCCTTATTTGCTCGAGAGAGGGTCAGCACCTCTGAGAGGGGGCCGCCACCGTGTCCAGGATGACCTGCTCCACACCTCCAAGAGAGCCCGCAGGCTAGGGCGCAGCGCAGATGCCAGGTTAATGGTTCACGCCTCTCTGGCCCCACCCCTCAAGCCCCACCCTGGTCCTCTGGCCCTGTGCCTCAAGCCACTCAGCTCCTCCAGCCACATCTGCCCCATAAGTTAATGAGGCTTTGGGGGGACAACTAGACACAAACCATAACAACACGTGTGTGTCCCATTTATTTCATTAAGAGCATGGTCTCGCAGTGCATCGATGTAGCAAGAAATGGCTCAGGTGTATCCTTCTTCAGGGCACAGTAGTACTCCATTGTATAAAACCCCGCATCTTCCTTATCTAGTCATCAGTCGATGGACGTTCGAGCTGAGCATTTTTGTTACAGTTCTGGAGGCTGAGAAGTCCCAGGCCAAGGCACCGGCAGGCTTGGCATCCCGCAGGACCCCTTCTCTTTTGCTAAGATGATGATTGAAGATTTCCCTAGCAGGGAAGAGGCTGTGCCCTCACGTGGCAGAAGGAGAAAGGCAGAGGGCCAGGCTGTCTTTCAGGCCCCGCTTTGCGGCTCCTGATCCCATTCTCCAAGGCGAGGCCTCCCAGCCAGTCATTTCCTGAAGGGCCCGTCTCTTAACGCCTCTAGGTGGGCGACACCTGAACTTGAGGAGGGGCGAGCTTGACACACCACGGCAGCGGCAGACCATGGCAGAGAAAGAGGCTGGGCTCTGGGAAGAGCTGTGGATTTTATACCACACGCTCCGCTGCCCTGTGTGCATCAGCGAGTTAGTGACCACCGCAGAATACAAAGGCCGCTGGAGAATTGCATCCGGGGCCCACAGGCCAGCGATGACGTCACGGGTGATGGGGACTCCCCGGACCACGAGGGTGGGCGCCCCGGATAGGGAAGCCTCTCTGGGACCTAAGGAGGAAAGAGAAGCGAAGCCTCCGGGGAGGCGTTTCTTCTCCACTCAGCACTCAGATTGCCCGGTGTCATTTACGTCCCCACCCGACGCAACACCACTTCACCCTGGGTGCTGGGTCCCATGTCCTGGGCTAGGTCTTTAGGGTGGTCGGGGAAGGAAGAAAACGTATGTGATGAAGCCGCTTTGTCCTCACAGCTTGCAGAGTGGGGTGGGCGTGAGCAGACCTCGATGGAGCAAGTGAGGCGCGTTCTCCTAGCCTCTAAAATAACAGATCATTTTCAAGTACGCTTTCTTACATAGTATGTGTTCTAGAGGAAGGGACGGTAGCCACTTTTTACGCTGAAAGTTTTTAATAAGTTATTGTTAAAATGGAAAGGGCGTCTTGGCCCTGACGTCCTTTGACAATCATAGGTGAGGAAAATGCAGAAATCCAGACAGTCTGTTCCTTTGCCTTAGTCAGCTGAATGTGCAGGACAAGGCTGCCCTCTAGCGGCCACATCCATAGGGAAGAACTCAAGCGGAAGCTCCCCCATGTAGCGATCACCTGTCTCCCTCTTGTGGCTGCAACGGATACACGCAGCGTTTCCGGTCGCCGCAGCAGGTGCTGCTTAGTTTACGGGGTCTTAGGAGATGAGGTACTGGGAGAAGTCCGAGAGACCAAGTAGCCCAATTTCCTTATATACATAAAAAGCAACTAAGGTTAGAATAAGGAGGCGACTAGCCCAAGACTTTACAAACTGAGCTTAGAAAGGATCTCTGGTTTCTGGACGCCCTGGTTAATGTTTCCTGCAGGCCCAGCTCCACCCTGCAAGAGGCAACTATCCCAGCTGCATCTCTGCTTTCTTGTCCCACGGCCCTTGGACCGTGTGCGCATGCGTGCATGCGCGTGTGCGTGTGCGTGCGTGCGTGCCTGTGAAGGAGCGCGCATAAGTATCTTTCTCTCTAACCTTACAGCACCGCATGAGCAAACTGCAGCTTTCTTTCCTGCATTTGTCCCCAAGAGTGCCTCAGGTGCAATTTCTCCTCTTGATGTTTCTTGGGACTGTCACCCTCGCAGTCTGGCAGCGCCTGTTGCCGGAACCCTGCATTCCTGAGGTCACTCAGTGGGCCCCTCCTGTCCTCCTGTCTCCAGCAGGGCTGCAGAGCGGCTCTCAGAGGCAGAGCCCTGGGGAGGAGGGCATCACGCGTTCCCTGGACCTGGGCACTCAGCTTGCCCTGCGCCCCTTAGATGGGGACATCAGTTCACCCAATCACATTGTTCCTAACAAAGGCGGCAGAGTCCCCAGCTCCCGTGGGTCAAATTATGGTTTTGACTTATTGCTGGTGTGAAAACAGGATGTAGCCAGTAGAAACTATGCTTTGGGTTTTGACTTTTGTTTTTTCCCGGGCAGGCGCTGCTCCTCCTGGTACTCTTTGCGGTGCCCCGTGTGGTGCTCTCTGCTATGTTGGGTGGCAGCAGCACATGAGCAAGAGGGGAAGCGACCACCACAGCACTGCCCACAGTGTGTGGACATTGTGCTTTGTATTTGTGCAGCCCGCCATGTCTATAACTCCACCGGTGTGTGCCCACGAGATGACGCTTCCTTATAAAACAAGTTGGTGTTTGATGACGCTGCCCAAGTGTAGGGATTCTGAGCACATTTAGGGCGGGCTAGGCTATATTACGATGATGAGGCTGAAAAGTTGTTCCTTTAAATTATGTTTTACAGACATGTCTTAAGTGTACGTATTAGTAAGATACAGCGATATTTCAACACATGCACAAATTTCTGAATGGCATTGTGAGTAGATGCCGTTCCCCTCTTACTCTGAATTCAGGGAAAATTTCACCTTTGCTTCCCACAGGGTTACTGTTCTGGGATCTGAACATCGGAGTCCTGGGGGCCTGCCTTGGATTCCTGGAAAGTCCTGTGTCACCAGCACCGTCCTGTCTGCCACACAAATCAGTGCTCAGCTTTGCTGGTAGAGTTGCACCATCTTGGAAGCAACAGCTCTTAGGTTTCTTGGAGGAGGCTGAGTGGACCCAATTGCATGTGGCCTCCTAAGACAGGCGACCCTCCCCTTGGAGCCTCTGTTTTGCATGTCCCTGTCTCACACAGCCCCCATCAAGCCCTATAAATATCTGGCACCTGGTGCCCTACCCAGGCACTGAACTTACTCTGCCAGCATGTTTCCAGTGGCTCTGGTGTGGCTGCTTTGGAGCCTGGCCTTCTGGACAGCAGGTGAGCAGGGAGGCCCCTGGGCGAGGCCTGTGAAGCAAACCTAGCTGACAACTGCTGCTGCCTGGTGTGTAGCAATAGAACACACTGTAAATGCCACATCTCTTTTGTTTACTCTTCAACAGTGAGTGGGGACATCACCCTGGCCCAGACCCCAGCCTCCTTGTCTGCATCTCCAGGACAGACCGTCTCCATCTCCTGTCAAGCCAGTGCTGATGTGCATGGAGAGATGTCTTGGGTCCGGGTTAAACTTGGCCAAAAACTTGAGCCCCTCATATCTCACGTCACCACTTTGGCCCCCGGTGTCCCAGCCAGGTTCAGCAGCAGAGGAAGTGGAACCAGCTATGTCTTCAGCATCAGCCCCGTGGAGCCCGGGGACTCTGGGGAGTATTACTGCATGCATGACTACTATTGGCCGGTCCACAGTGGTGCAGGCTATGCACAAAACTGCTGGGTGTCCCAGAGCTGAATCGCTAGGTGCGAGGCTATACCTGGCTGACCCGGATCCTCTTCCAGAGATAGGCTCTACATTTAGGAACTCTTCTTTTTTAAAAAAAAAATAAAAGTAGATGTAGCAGTCTCTGTCTTCCTCTGGGTCTTCCCCACTTCATCATACTTCTGTTGCATTCCAATGGCTGTGTCTGCCAGGCTCTCCAGAGCGGTGGATGGCAGCTTTCTCTGCAAACTGGGAAGATCACAGAGCCCGAGCATCTCCCAGGTCAGCCTCAGAGGGTGAGGGCAGGAAGAGCGGCCTTCACAACCCAGCTCTCTTGCTTCAGCTGCAGTAAGCAGAGGCTCCCCCTGTGTTTCTGGGGGGCAGGAACACTGGCCGGCCATTCTCACATTCAGTTCCTCTGCAGAAGCGTCTTTTGCTACCTGTCGTTGCTCTGGTTCAGGCCAGCATGCACGCAGTCTCCAAAACAACCTGTGCTCCTTTAACTGACTGAACATGGGCTGTAACTCCTGGCAGTCCTGCCAGGCTACCAGTTGCCCAACATCACCCTCTTGTCCTTCTGTCCAGAAGCAGAGCACTCTGTGGCCACTAGAGGATGAGATTTCTGGTCCCACTTCTCTGCCTCCTGCTGATGGGCATTGGGCTAAGCACATTTTCTCTCCCATTCTTGAGCTGGAAATTCAGCCCTTGGCACAGAGATAAGGTGCTTTAAATATGCTTTGGAAATGGCAGAGTGACATGAAAAGTTGTTTTACTTTAGCTCTTGTTAGGAATCTGAGGACAAAGTCCAAGGCCCACAATGAGGCAGAGGTGCAAGCCGCTTTGAGCCTGTCCCCAGCCTTCACGAGGACCGAGGGGTGCAGTTTTCCTTCTAATCCTCTGAGCCAAGAAATCCACTGTGCTCTTGGATGCAGTGTCCTTGAGGGCTACAGAGGACAAGTTGCCTGACTCAGCCTTCTTAAGCGGACTTTGTCCCCATCACCTGTGTAAGCAACATGGCGATAAGAACTGCCACGTCCTGGTACAAACAAGAATGCAGCGAGTCCCCAGGCTGCTCATCTCAGGGGCTTCTGCACCAAAAGTCCTCTTTGGGAGCATCTTCTCGGCTCTGGGAAAGTAGCTCTGGCTCTGGCTTCTGCCTTGTCAGCTGTGGCATGGAAGCTGAGGACATTGTAGTGACTTCCTGCTGTAGCCCTGCAGCCAGCCTTGAGCAGTGACAGCTCCCCAACCTAAAATATCCTTTCCCAGATGAAGAGCTTCCCCTGGGAGGTGTAATCAGTGTGTAAGTGTCCACGTTCTCAGTGCCTGGGCTGGGGAGATAGCTTGGCGGTCTAAGTGCCTGCCTGACAAGCACAAGGACCTGAGTTCGATTCTTGTGTACCATATGCCATGCCAGGCACTGAACCCCGGGTACACTCTGCCAGCCCCCAAACTGGACATGTGGCACATGCCTGTAATCCCAGAGCTGGGGAGGCTGAATCAGGAAGATCACTGAACTGTGTAGTGAGATGCTGTATCAGATAAATAAATAAATAAATAAATAAATAATTTATTTATTTTAAAAAACATTCTCAGAGCCTGTGTTTTATGATCTGGTGAAGCAAAGGAAGGTAGAGTTGTTGCCTTCCATGCAAACCAGACCTACACAGAGGAAAAGCGGGTGGGGATTGGAGCCACGCAGACAGGGGCTTTGAGTTGGTTCCTTTACCCACACTTCCATTACCCACTGCAGCGCACTGAAGCACCTCAGACCTTAGAGGATGCAAAGGATGATTTATTGTTGCTTGTGACTCTGTGAATGGTCCGAGGAGCTTCTGCGCTCCCTTGTCTGGGCTGCCTCGTGCAGCGGCAGGCAGCTGGGTCACTTGGGTCGCCTGCACAGCTGTGTCGCCTGCCATCCTGACAGCTGGGGCTGGCTCTAGGCTGGGCTGCTCTGGCTCTCCTCTTGCTCACGCGCTAGCTGAAGCGGTGCTGGGAACATCCCGGCTCGGCCTGGGGCAGCTGAAGGAACAGTCTCGGGACACACTTTAGGGTTAATGACATGACTTTTTGTTGTGCAGGGACACCTGGACACTAGCAACCCTGAACAAATTTTACTAGCAATACTTAACATTACCAGAGATGAAATACTCCATTCTATAGGAATGACCATGCCCACTGCCCGCTGCATACTGCTTCATTCATTTTCTCTTCTTTTTCTAGTCTCTTTAGGTATAATATTTTTTATTTGGAATCTTTGCTTTAATAAGGTAGAACTTTGGTTCTATTTTTCCTGTTACACTTGGTTCTATAAAGTCTTTCTTCAGAACGTCCTTTGCTCCACCTCACCAGTTTTGGCACTCTGCGTTTCCATCTTGATTTGTTTTATAATGAGAAAATTAAAAAAAATATTATATGCCAGTTTGTTAGTTTAGGAGCATGTTGCGAGATTGCCGTATATTGTGAATTTTACAGAATTTATCTGGTTACAGAGCTATGCTTTCATGCCATTGTGGTTTGAGGAGATACTTGGTATGATTTCAGTGTCCTTGAAGTTTTCAAGATTTGTTTTTATTGCCCAAATAACCTGTCTTAGAGAACAGTCGGAAGAAGTCTATTCTGCTGCTATGAGCTCTGCATGTGTCTGTTCAGCCCATTTGAACTAAACTGTAGTTCAAAGCCAACATTTCTAGATAGATTTTCTGTCTGGATGCTTTACAGACATTGCTATGTGTGGCTACTACTGTATTTCTGTTTTAGATTTCCCTTCAGAACTCTGAGTACATTATGAGCCTTACATATGTAGGTGTGTCAATATTGGATACATATAAATTTATCATTCTTATGTCCTCTTGTTGAATTGACTCCTTTAGCATTATTCAATGACTATTTTCATGCCTTTATTCATTTTTTTGTCTTAAAGTTTATTTTTCCTGTTATACTTGCAATAATGCCCACTTTCAGTGGTTTCTATTTGAGTGGAATATCTTTTTCCATTCTTCATTTGCAGTCTATGTGGACCTTCAGATTCGAGGTGAGTCTCTTGTAGGCAGTATATAGTTGGTTCTTGGTTTTTCTTTAACAAATTCAGCCCACTCTATTCTGTGGGCTTTGATTAGAGATTTTAATCCATTTACATTAAGTAATTATTAACAGATAAAGATTTGGCTATTGCCATTTTGTTATTTTTCTGGTTTTTAATTGCCTATCCCTTTCTTTTCTCTTTCCTGGTATGTTCTGTGATTTGATGACTTTTCTGTGATGTCTTGGCTTGATTGCATTCTCCTTATGTTTTTTTTTTTTTTTTTAGAGAATATATTTATTGAGAGAAAGAAAGCTGCTGTCCGAGAGAGGGACAGGAGGGGGGCCTGAGTGGGTAGTTCCCCCTCTCCTTATGTTTTATATATCTATTATAGTCTTTGCTTTTAGTTGCTCATGCGACTTATGTAAAACATCTAGTTATAACAGACTATTTTAACTGATAACTACTTAACTTTGATCACATGCAAAAACTGAACCCTTTTTTCCTCTTTTCAAATTTCAAACTTTTGATGTCGATAATTTACCACCTTTTATATTTGGTATCCTTTGACAAATTATTGTAACTCTAATTACTTTTAATAATTTTGTCTTTTGGTCCAGCCAGCAGGGTCCAGTCCTATTAGATGGTGTCACCCCCATTCCAGTGGGTCTCCTCTCATTTTGGGGTTCCATGTCTCAAGTCATTCCTATGAGCGCCAGCACACCCAGAATTGCACTGTGATGGTTACCTCGGAGTTTCCTAATCCAGTCAGGCTGACAATCAAGGTGAATCATCACAGCACATCAGAACGCCAGTCCTTTCAGCTCACAGGTCTGGCTTAAAGCACCAATTGCGTGATGCGATTGAAATTCCCCTGAGTGACTATGTCAGGATGGCTTGGAGAGTAGCAGCCACACACTGAGAAATTGCATGGTAACAAAGGAGCACGCATCCCTTGAGACTGCCACCAGGGAGAGGACACAGGTGCAGTACTGTCATTTGACCTAAGGAAAAGAAGAAGGGAGAAAATTCATCCCTGTCCTATCAAATAACAAAGAAAGAGAAGAACAACAAAGCAGTAGGGTTTACTACCAGGGCTCAAGCAAGGCATTGCAATGCCGGCTGGCTGGAGTGAAGTGACTCGGGCAGGCTGCTCCCTACACAGGGAGCACCTTTGTAAGCTGCCTTGCAGGAAGAGCAGCTCCAGGGCTGTGCGTGCTTCACTGTAGTAGATGACATCCAGAAAGGCAGGATGGCTGTCATGGGACTGAGCATGGTGAAAACTGGATAACAGAAAGAGACAGATCCATTCTATTGACAGCAAACTGAAGATACTTGTAGTTTCCTAAATTTTTGCATGTACTATAAGTGGTTCATTAAGTACTTCAGTGTACTAGGAAGAGAAATAAACCAAGAATATAGAGTGATCGTAAACTTTTCATGGAAATTGGGTCATTTGTGAGGGGGAAAAAAAGAGAATGCTATTAATGATCATGCTGGAATTCCACGGGCATGATAGTAGTGAGACAAAGTTATCCTTAGATATGACAATGTCATGAGAGAAGGTTAGTGAAAAAAATGAGAATAATGTCACTATAGAAAATGAAAAGGTTGGCTTGGGAAGATAGCTCAGCAGTCTAAGCACTTGCCTGACAAGCACTAGGACCTGAGTTTGATCCCTGGTACCACATGCCATGCTGGCCCCAGAACCCCAGGGGCGCCATGCTGGCCACTGAAACCAGGCGTGGTGTTGTAAGCCTGTAATCCCAGAGCTGAGGAGGCTGAGACAGGAGGATCACTATGAGTCTGAGTCTGAGCTGTGTAGCAAGACCCTGTACTAAATAAATAAGTGAAGGATAAAAAACAATTAAAGAAAATGAAAAAAATAATACATGTATTATTTCTCCAAAACAATTAGTTCCTCTCACTATGGAAATATTTTTTAATAAATTGAGGTTCTTCTCTATGGCACAGTATCCCAAGAGGAGTGACATAGATTTGCTGAGAGATGTTTTCTTCCCTGTGAAACATCATAGCTCAGAGTATTTAGTCAAAGCAACAGATTAGCCCAGAACCATCATTTCATCTCCAGAAGATGATATTTTTATGCTATTCTGCATACTCATATTTTTAACAATTTTTGTTTTCTTTTTTTATCAGTTATTTTATTTTAAAGAAAAAAAATAAAAACAATGGTACAAAATCTTAAAACAAGATTTTAGGAGAGTAACAATGGTTAGTACATTGTGCATTGTTGCTGCCAAAGTAGTTTCTCATATTACAAGATATAGGCAAGAAAT